CTGGTCAAGGGGACAATTTGAACATTATTTCAAAATCTGAGGAAACTCACATTCCCCTGCTCCCCAAAACTAGTATGAATAAGAATCCCAGATGCTCCAGTGACATTTTCATATTGTTTTCATATTGTTAAAAAGATCAAACTATTTTCTATAAACATCTTTCATGCCAGGTTCTTTGTTGACCAGATTTATAGAAACAACTATCATCTTAACGACATATTCCTGAAATGAAACACTGCATATATGAAAAATTATTTAAAACATTGCTGGGTATAAAGTGGTTTTAGGATTAGAGAACTTATGATGCAATTTGATCTCAGTAGAGAAAAGTAAAGTCTTACACTTATGCAAGAAAAACCAAAAGTACACATATGGATTGGGTGAAACCAGGCTTAATAGCTGTAACTTTGAGAGAGATCTTGGAGTCTTAGTGGACAATCAATTAAATATGAGGCAGCAGTGTGCGGCAGCAGCCAAAAAAAAGCAAATGCAACCTTAAATTGCATTAACAGAGGGATTCAATCAAGATCATGTGGTACTAATGAGGTACTAATACAACTCTATAAAGCCTTAGTAAGATCACACCTAGAATACTGCAATCAATTTTGGTCTCCACACTATAAAAAAAGATGTTGAGATGCTAGAAAATGTGCAGAGAAGAGCACCAACTACGATTAGGGGACTGGAGGCTAAAACATATGAAGAATGGTTACAGGAATTGGGCATGGCTAGTTTAATGAAGAGAAGGACCAGGGGAGACACAATAGCAGTGTTCCAATATTTGAGGGGCTGTCACAGAGACGAGAGGGTCAACCTATTTTCCAAAGCACCTGAAGGCCAGACAAGGAATAACAGATGGAAACTGATCAAGGAGAGACTCAGTCTGGAAATAAGGAGAAATTTCTGACAGTGAGAACAATCAACCAATGGAACAGATTGCCTTCAGATATTGTTGGTGCTTCATCACTGGAGGCTTTCAAGAAGAGGCTGGACTGCCATCTGTCAGAAATGTTATAGGGACTCCTGTACCTACAAGGGCCCTTCCAACTCATTCTATTCTATTCTATTCTATTCTATTCTATTCTATTCTATTCTATTCTATTCTATTCTATTCTATTCTATTCTATTCGCAAAAATGCTAATTCAACAACATTTAAAAGCTTACATTTCAAAATGACATCATACTCATACATCAAGCACAATTTTTTTTTATGAAAATACATTACATGAGATTATAAAGTGAAATTAGACCCAGATTTCTTTTGAAGACATGTACTCATACCTTACAGACAGCATTCTTTTAAAGTGGATTCAAAGACTAGGATAAAGGCCCCATCCATCCCTGCCCTGTAGTGGTCAGTTGTATACTTCCAGAAAAGAAACTCATAACTGAAACAAATGAAAGGAGATGGCGATTTGCATGTATAGAGCTAAAATTATGCAGGTAGACAACAACTTGCTGTGGAGTTTTTTTTTGTGTAAATTATGATGGTATAGTTATTTGCAGTTAAAAGCATGCACCCTAAGGGTGGTGCTAAAGCATCCTATTATTTTTATCTGCATATTCTAGTTTTTCTTTCTTGTTTCTTTCACCCAGACATAAGTTCTTCTTTCTGTTTCTGATGAAAATATGGGTGTAGGAAGAAAAGTAATTCATAGGAAGTCCAGGAAGATAGGAAATGTTACTCAATTAATGGCAGTCTGATATTTTAGAGTATGTCATGAAAATGCTTACAAAATGGTTGCTATAAGGATAAGACACAACATACATGTTATTTAGAAGATTAACTAGCTCCCACCCATTGTTACCGCATAGAAAGAAATTAATGTGACCCAAAGGCATTTCTCTAACTTTATGTGAAATAGAAATTGGTCATTTGCTTCCTAAGGAGATACTGTACCTGTTATTTACTCTTGTCATAATTGTGTACCAGATAAAGGTGAACAAATAATTGGAAGGAAAATATACAATCAATAGAAAGAAAATTTAACTGTATAAGTTGGTGTATTCCATGAGAACATTCTAGTTTTCTTGATTGCTCTCTTATCTTAGTATTGAGGACTAAGTCTTTGATTACAAGAAGACCAAGTAAGATATACAGTATGTATTGTTAGGGACCTCTTTGGACCTCCATTTATACAGGGTCAATTCAACTGCTACAAGGAGACAACTCTTGGCTGATTCCATAATTTGAATGTTGTTTTTTTGTCATTGGTTGAATAAGCTCCCTTCCTTTAGTGTAGATTCTGTTTCAGTGATCTGTAGTATCAGTGGGGATACATAATTTCATGCATGTACCTGCCTCCTTGATCCAGGAAACAGCAATAGATACAGAGAAGGATCTGCACATTTCTCCCTAAAGCCAGTAGAGAATGAGAATGCATCAAACTTTCTTGGCAGGAAGAATATTGGAGAGAGTTCTTCCAAAGCAGCATGAACTTGTCGAGAGCCAAAATAAAAGCTGGTCAGAAATATTGTCTGACCCAGGGAACTTTGAGACACACGTCTCCTCTGGCAAACTTTAGTTTGGACCATGGGCATTTTTTTTTCTTAAGCAATAAAATATTACACAACTTATTCAGTACAGCAGTCAACCCCTTTCATTTTCATCCAGTGTTAATTTTAAGTTTCCCAAATATTGAAAGAGCTGCAGGATTTCAACACTGGGGTGCACTGTCTTGTGAAATGTATGTTTCAAATGTCCATGTATGTCAGGTCCAAACTCTGGGAAGTCCAAGCTCAGCAGACAGATCATTTGTCAAGTCATGGCTATATGAGACAATGAGAGGTCCTTCTAGAAATATAGAAGAGCTTTTACACAATGTATTGTGCTGAAATGGATAGAAAAAACTTCTTTTCCCTGAGCCATTTTTTATTACAATGTGACAAAAATGCAGTCCACCCTGTGCTACTGTAATGTATCTGAAGTTATACTCATTTTACTATCTAATAAAATCTTTTATGCTCCAGTATACAGAAGTGGTAATGACAACCTTTTCAGAATTTAACCTGTGCACCTTATGGATTTTCATCTGAATCTAATAACATAATAAATTAATGTCATGTGTCTGCCAAATCTGTTTGTCTACCAATGTTTCAGTTTCTTCTATATTATAACCTTCCAATTTCTCTCTATCCAGACTCAGACTGGTAACATAATTTTTTTTTCACCCTGCAACTATTTTTAATCATGTGATTGCTAATAATAGTATATTGTGTTTGTCAATGTATACTAATATTCTAAGCCAGGGGTGTCAAACTCGCAACATCACGTGACATGTCGCGACATATCATGACTTTTTTCCCATTGCCAGCAATGGGATTGGCGCTGTTTTGCCATGACGCATCCAGCCCACGGGCCAGCAGTTTGACACGCCTGTTGTAAGCAGACTCTTGTTCTGGTGGCATTTGGTTCATTTTACACCATTTCTTTCAACGTGCTTTTGTCAGAATCAATGGAATTAACCTAAAAGCCAGGATTTAGCTTAATCTGTCATCTTTTAGTATTTGTTTGTCAAGTTTGGGCTGAAGTCTCTTTAAGCCTTTTGTGCACAAACCTTTTGAGATAGCCCAGTCTGACTTGCTCCTTGAATTACTCACTCAAGCTAAAGAGGGTTGACTTTTCACCTACTAACCTTTCACTCAGTAAAGCCACTTGTCTTCTGATGCTTTCTCAATCTAGGAAGTTGAGATGGATTTAGGCTCAATCTATTTTGAGATTTAAATAAATGCAATGTTGTTCAGCTAAAACCTGGCAAAACTGTAATTTTTGTTTTCATGCATGGCAAATATTATCAGGCTCAACATTTGGGTTTACTTGCATGTAATAAATACAGTATTTATTTAAAGTTATAATAAAATAGAAGAGACAATATAGTAAGCTTGCCAGAATGTATTCATTCTCCCTGGGTGCTTTAGTCAAGTGTTAGTTGATGTGGATTTGAATAAACAAAAATTGTTCCTCTATGAAATGGAAGTCAAACAATTTCCAGGCTTCTTGTTTTAGGCTTTAAAAAAGGAATTATACCAAGTCTATTCATTTTGCTCTGGCATGAACTTAACACAGAGAAGAAAAAAAACCACAGCATGTAACCCAAAATGTAATGTTTGCCCCTTTGAAGGGGAAATATAACAGCTAGAGTGAAATTTGGAGAGCTTGGTTTCCAGTAAAAACTGACAAGGTAATTTGTCACCCAAATTAATTTAATTTTTCCAACTTTAAAATTGTGTATTGCTTTCGAAGTGTCCATATTTCCTTGGGGAGATGAGATTTAAAATAGCCACAGCCTCACCAGTTTTAAGGTAGTGAGCAGTCCTTACAAAGTAAACATTTGCCAAAGAAGAATTGGAAGAAGGTGCTCTTAAATCATTAAACCTGGTCTTGTGTTCTGATAAAAATGTTTGGGCCAAGGGAAGAAAAGGAAAGGAGATTAATATAAGTATTTTGAAATATATTAATATAAGTATTTAGAAAGCCATTTTTTTCTAAAGGATGTCATTGTTGGAGCCAGAATAATCCTGGGTGTGGGGCAAGTGTTTCAAAATGAAGGCATGACAAAGACAAGGTACAACTCCATGGTTCCATGAGTTGACATTGTTTAATTGATGGAAACCAGCTCATGCCCATCCTGTTGATCTTATGGGACAGACAGAGCAGTTGGGAAAAGTCTACTTGTGAATAACCAGGAAAGAAAGAAGTGGAAAAATACAAGATTCCCTGCACTTATATCTCCATATAGCTTTACACATATGGAGGGGTATATTAGAAGCCTAGTTTGAACATACACTATGCTTATTTATCCAATTGACTAAAATTCAAGCTTTCAATCAAAGAATCCTCTCTCTAAGAAAAATTCCATTAAACAGAATGCTGGTTTCTAAAAGATGGAAGTAACATTTAATACTGTTTTGCATTATTATATCATTTGTGTTTTAATTTTGTAGAACACCATGCCATTGAGATCATAAATCTAATGGCCATCTTTTATTCCTGTTTCAGTGGCAAATGAAATGTTGCCGATGTGATTCCAGAATCCCTCATGCATTCAACAGTCACCGGGTGGAAAATGTTCTCTCTTCTACAGGACACAAGCGTTGGTGGCAATCTCAGAATGGTAAGTCCCTGATTTAGAGGAGGGGGGGGAAAGGAAAGAGGCTGATGTGGACGTGCTGTAAAGTAGTTTTATGGTCAGAACAATGATTTCAGAGGGACAAGGGTTGTGTGGATTTAGTAAATAGAGCTTGAGATTTAATAGATTAACTGCAGAGAGGAAATGAATGATCTAGCTTTTAGAAAAAGCCTTAGTTTCATAATGTTCATGGCCCACTGTTCTGATAATTGCTTTTTTGTCTCCTCAGATGTGAAACATGTTTATCTCCAACTGGATTTAAACAATAAATTTCAGCTTGCTAATCTCCTGCTGGATTTCAGGGTATGTGCATGGCTCTCCTGTTTCTTTTTGGAGAAATAAATTTTGATTCAAATGACCTTTGTAAACTAGTGAGAGTCTTGGTCTCTACTGTTAGCTTATCTGGGTTCTGGATCAATCACACTGATTAACTCCCCTTTCTCTCCTTTTTCTTGCTAAGGGTAGAAAGTAAGACTATTGAATTCTAGTTATCTCTTCTTTCCTCTGTCTCTTAAGAGTCCTTTGCCAGGTGGCATGGTGATTGAGCGTTCTACTGATTTTGGTACAACGTGGAAGATCTATCAGTACTTGTCCACAGACTGTTCTACTACTTTTCCCTGGATCCCCAAGAGCTTGCCTCAGAAATGGCATGATGTCCGTTGCCAGGACATACAGAGTCAACATAGACAACCTCAGAATGGGGGAAAGGTATTGTAAATGCAGTACTCTTTGGACTAAGATTACATGGGATGTATTGACCTCAAAGTTACAGTATCATGTGTGTGTGTGTGTGTGTGTGTGTGTGTGTGTATCTATCTCTATCTCTATCTATCTATCTATCTATCTATCTATCTATCTATCTATCTATACACATTTTTTTTAGATTGCTAACAGAATAAAGGGAGAACTGGAATAGCTATTTTGAGCTTCTTATATTTGTTTTCTAAGGTTTTTGCGGGTGTTTGTATGTAGGTCTTTGGTTATTCGGGTTTTCTCCCGTGTCAAATTGGAAGTGTCTTCGCGACGTTTCGACTTTGTTAAGTGTCGCCAAGATTTTGAATATATTTTGAATCTACCATCCTAAGAAACCCCAAAGACAAAATTGAGTTAGAAAATCAAGGAGTATATGAAATCCCATGCACCGCTTGTCCCAACACATACATCGGATAAACCAACAGAAGAATAAGTGCACACATTGAAGAACATAAGAACTCAGTCAAAAAAGAGGAACCAACATCTTCCCTGGTCCAACACCTTAAAGCCACAGGACATGAAATTGACTTTAAAAATACCAGAACTATCACCAAAACTGAACATTTTAATAACAGAATAATCAGAGAAGCCATCGAGATAGAAAAATGCCCACATAGCATGAACAAACGAGATGATACCTCCCGCCTATCAGCCATTTGGAAACCCACCCTTACTGACAAACGACTCCCTAACACAAAGAATGACACCAGACCACACTCACAAAAACCACACAGGATGTCACCACCACACATCCACGCAAAAAGCAAACCCAAAGCCACACCGATGATGAGGCATGACCACAAACCAGAGTCAGACCACAGCTGCATCATTAGCCACTTTAAACCCCTCCAATCCATACATGAAGCAAACTGGCACCCACCATGAAGATGAGGCACGACCATGAACATGAAGCCAAAAAATAGCAAGGCAGCCCACCATCTTAAATCCCCCTGCAACTCAGACTAACCTGAGCACAACAAAGCCCCCACCTAAACAGAACATTCCCCCATCCAATCAGAGCACAGCCAACCCCCCATCCAATCAGAGCACAGCCAACCCCCCATCCAATCAGAGCACAGCCAAGCCCCTAACCAATCAGAACACATCTCCACCCAATCAGAACACAGCCAAGCTTCCACCCAAACAGTTCATACCCCCACTGGCAGTTAAAAGGAAGAAACAGCTAAGACCACACATTGTTCCTCGAAGCACGAAGCTGAAAACACCAGCCTGAAGATGACGAATGGGACTTCATCGAAACGTCGCCAAGACACTTCCAATTTTACGCGGGAGAATAACCAAAGACCTACATACAAACACCCGCGAAAACCTCAGAAAACATATACATATACATATATACATACATATATATATACATATACATATATGTAGGTCTTTGGTTGTTCGGGTTTTCTCCCGCATAAAATTGGAAGTGTCTTGGCGACGTTTCGACGAAGTCCCATTTGTCATCTTCAGGCTGGTGTTTTCAGCTTCGTGCTTTGAGCAGCAATGTGTGGTCTTAGCTGTTTCTTTCTTTTAATTGCCAGTGGGGGTATGAACTGATTGGGTGGGAGCTTGGCTGTGTTCTGATTGGGTGGAGGTGTGTTCTGAATGGTTAGGGGCTTGGCTGTGCTCTGATTGGCTGGGGGAGTGTTCTGTTTGGTTGTGCTCAGGTTAGTCTGAGTTGCAGAGGGGTTTAAGATTTTGGGCTGCCTTGCTATTTTTTGGCTTCGCGTTCGTGGTCGTGCCTCCTCTTCATGGAGGGTGTCAGTTTGCTTCATGTATGGATTGGAGGGGTTTAAAGTGGCTAATGATGCAGCTGTGGTCTGGCTTCTGGTTTGTGGTCGTGCCTCGTCATCGGTGTGGCTTTGGGTTTGTTTTTTGCGTGGATGTGTGGTGGTGACATCCTGTGTGGTTTTTGTGAGTGTGGGTCTGGTATCATTTTTTGTGTTAGGGAGTCGTTTGTCAATAAGGGCGGGTTTTCCATATATATATATATATATATATAATATATATATATATATATATATGTAGGTCTTTGGTTGTTCGGGTTTTCTCCCGCGTAAAATTGGAAGTGTCTTGGCGACGTTTCGACGAAGTCCCATTCGTCATCTTCAGGCTGGTGTTTTCAGCTTCGTGCTTCGAGCAGCAATGTGTGGTCTTAGCTGTTTCTTCCTTTTAACTGCCAGTGGGGGTATGAACTGATTGGGTGGGAGCTTAGCTGTGTTCTGATTGGGTGGAGGTGTGTTCTGATTGGTTAGGGGCGTGGCTGTGCTCTGATTGGCTGGGGGGTTGGCTGTGCTCTGATTGGCTGGGGGGTTGGCTGTGCTCTGATTGGCTGGGGGAGTGTTATGTTTGGTTGTGCTCAGGTTAGTCTGAGTTGCAGAGGGGTTTAAGATTTTGACAAACGACTCCCTAATACAAAAAATGATACCAGACCCACACTCACAAAAACCACACAGGATGTCACCACCACACATCCACGCAAAAAGCAAACCCAAAGCCACACCGATGATGAGGCACGACCACAAACCAGAAGCCAGACCAGAGCTGCATCATTAGCCACTTTAAAGCCCTCCAATCCATACATGAAGCAAACTGACACCCTCCATGAAAATGAGGCACGACCACCAACGCGAAGCCAAAAAATAGCAAGGCAGCCCAAAATCTTAAACCCCTCTGCAACTCAGACTAACCTGAGCACAACCAAACAAACACTCCCCCAGCCAATCAGAACACAGCCAACCCCCCAGCCAATCAGATCACAGCCAACCCCCCAGCCAATCAGAGCACAGCCAAGCCCCTAACCAATCAGAACACACCTCCACCCAATCAGAACACAGCCAAGCTCCCACCCAATCAGTTCATAACCCCACTGGCAGTTAAAAGGAAGAAACAGCTAAGACCACACATTGCTCCTCGAAGCACGAAGCTGAAAACACCAGCCTGAAGATAACGAATGGGACTTCGTCGAAACGTCGCCAAGACACTTCCAATTTTACGCGGGAGAAAACTCGAACAACCAAAGACCTACATACAAACACCCGCAAAAACTTCAGACAACATATATATATATATATATATATATATATATATATATATATATATATATTCTATATATATATAGTTCCTTTGGTTGTTCGGTGTTTTCTCCGCGCGTAAAATTGGAAGTGTCTTGGCAACTGTTTTCGACGAAGTCACATTCGTCATCTTCAGCACTGGTGTGTTTTAGCTTCCTTGCTTTGAGCCAGCATGTGTGGTTTTAGCTGTTTCTTCCTTTTAACTGCCAGTGAGGGTATGAACTGATGGATGGGACTTGCTGTGTTCTGTTGGGTGGTGTGTGTTTCTGATGGTTAGGGCTTGGCTGTGCTGCTGGATTGGCTGGGGGAGTGTTCTGTTTGTTGTGCTCATGGTTGTCTTAGTTTCAGAGGGTTTAAGATTTTTGGGGGGGGGTTTTTTTTAGGGAGTCGTTTGTCCATAAGGTCCCCCGCCCACGGCATGTTTTCCAATGGCTGGTAGGCGGGAAGGTATCATCTCGCTTGTTCATGCTGTGTGGGCGTTTTTTCTATCTCGATGGCTTCTCTGATTATTCTGTTATTAAAATGTTCACTTTTGGCAATGGTTCTGGTATTTTTAAAGTCAATTTCATGTCCTGTGGCTTTAAGGTGTTGGACCAGGGAAGATGTTGGTTCCTCTTTTTTGACTGAGTTCTTATGTTCTTCAATGCGTGCACTTATTCTTCTGTTGGTTTGTCCGATGTATATGTTGGGACAAGTGGTGCATGGGATTTCATATACCCCTTGATTTTCTAATTCAATTTTATCTTTGGGGTTTCTAAGGATGGTGGATATTTTTCTGTTTGTGCAGAATGCTGTTTTGATGTTGTGTTTATGGAGGATCTTACTGATTCTGTCTGTGGTGCCTTTTATGTATGGGAGGAGGGCTTTGCCGTTTTCTAGTTCTTTGTCTTGGATTTTAGTGGGGGTTTCTTTTTGGATTAGGTTTGTAATCTTATTTCTATGGAATCCATTGGATGTTAGTACATTGGTGAGAGTGTGTAGTTCGGGTTTTAGGTGTTGTTCGTCAGCTAAGCGTTTTGTTCTGGAGATGAGTGTCTTGGCTACAGAGTTGATCTTTGCTGGGTGGTGGTGTGAGAGAGCGTGCAGATAGCGGTTTGTGTGTGTTTTCTTCTGGTAGATGGTGTGTCCTAGGGAGCCATTGGATTTCTTGTAGACTAAGACATCCAGGAAGAGAAGTTGGTTGTTAGCTTCTGTTTCCATGGTGAACTGTATTTTGGGGTGTAGGCTGTTGAGGTGTGTGAGGAAGTTGTCCAGTTTTTCGTTCCCATGTGGCCAGATTATGAAGGTGTCGTCTACGTATCTGAGCCAGAGTTTGGGTTTGTGATCCGATTTTTCTAGAGCTTGGGTTTCAAAGTGTTCCATGTAGAGGTTGGCAATGACAGGTGATAGGGGTGATCCCATGGGTGCTCCTTCTGTTTGTTTGTATTTTTGTCCATTATAGATGAAGTATGTGTTGGATAGGCAGTGGTTGGTCAGATCTAAGATGTGTTTGGGGGGGTTCTATTTGTTTTGAATAGCTGTCAAGGCTTCTTTGATAGGCACTTGGGTGAAGAGGGATATGACATCGAAGCTCACTCGTAGGTCGCTGGGCTGTAAGCTTTGTTTCTTTATGATCTCTATAAACGGAATGAGTTTTTTACGGTGAGGTGGATGGATTCTGCATAGGGCTGTATTGTTTGGCGAGAAATTTGGCTAGGTTTGTAGAGGTGAGCCTATGGAGCTGACTATAGGTCTGAGTGGGGTTCCTTCTTTGTGGTATCTTGGGAGACCGATAGAGTGTTTAGTGGCATCTGGATGATTTCTCTCTGGGAATGATTTCTTTGCTGATCTCTTCGCTAATGGGGGAGGCTTTTATCTTGGTTCTGGTGGTTTTTTTCCAGGTAG